AAATTATTGTTCTTTTTCATTTTCTAGATAATTTAAAATATTACAAATATTAATTTCCTCATGAGCTAAAATTTACCCACATAAATACATGTTTCATCAAATTATAAATTATAGTTGGTATAAATAAAAATATTATGAAGCAAATAATTAAAATATTTAGGATATCTCGAATCAATCAATTAAATTTGAGGCTTAGTATAAAAATTAATAAATGATAATAATTTGAAAACAATATATTTATTTTTACTCGAGATTAACTCTTTTGTTAAAAATAAAACGAACTTGTTACACTCTTGAAAATTTTTTTTTGTTTTAGAATTTAAGTAATAAGATGAACATGGACAAAACTCTTTACAACAAATCCTATATTCCTAAAAACTGTTTTCCAGAAACACCAAATACTAAATCACACATTAAAATAAATATTAAAAATCTTAGTATTATTTTATTTTTATGGATTAAATTGTCATTTACCTAACAGCAAGGCACTATTCCATGCGCCACATACTACTTTGACGATTTTTCTTACATTGTTTTTCAGCAACGGAGATAAATCACTTAAGTTTATCATTCGGTCACAAGTTAATTGGTATGTCTCAATACCAAGCTGTTTGTGAGCATTCCACCCACAACCCCAAAGTATATTGTTCTTAGATAGAACCATCGAATGTCTTGCCCCCAAACTCACTTGTTCGATATCTGTCTCTTCAGTCCAACTAATCAGTACTGGTTCTGGAGCCATTATTATACCACCACTTTCTGTAAAAATGTCATTAATTAATTTTTAACTTTAAAAAAATATTAAAAGCATTCAACATGATATTTCACCTGTTTTAACTATTTTGAATACGTTTATTAGTGCCGTAAACCTAATTAAGTCATACAAAACATTCAACCTTCAATTAGTTGGTAATTATTATCAACATCAAACAGTAAAATGCTAAAAATAGTCTGATTATAATGTTTAAACAAATAATTGTACATACATTGTATATTATTTTCTAAAGATGGCAAAGTACTAAAATAATATGACATAATAAATCATTAAGATTTTAGCTGTGACAATACGCATTACATAAACATATTTTAGCTGATGTTTTGAACCACTGCCCCAAGTATAACACATTATAATTGATTGAATAAATAATATTATATATCATTTACATTAAAATTACAATTATTAACTTTTCATTTTTATGATTTAATTATTGTATATTTAGTACCTGGGGAGTTTGAAATTCCTAGTWGCCCAGAATGATTCCAGCCCCACATGTAGAGATCATTATATTCTGTGATTGCAGCAGTATGCCAACCACCAGCAGAAGTATTTATCACTCGAATACCATCTAAAGATTTCAAAAGCCGTGGATGATCTTCTTCATTTAATTCACCATGACCTAATTGACCTCGACTGCAAGTATTTTTGTACATTTTAAAATCTTTAATATACCATTATTTATGATATGGGAATAATTGCTTGATGAATTTGATATAGTACCAAAAGACACAAAAAAGTACAATAGAATACAAAATATTAAAGATTATGTGGTAAATACAGCTTACCTGCTGGATCCCTGTGTATATAAGCACCCAGTTTCCATTAAAATAACAATATGCTCAAACCCACACACTACTTGAGTGACTTTGAATTTCGAATTGAATATCTTAGTAGGAATTGAATATATTTCTAAAATGAAAACAACTTACTCTCAAATATTTATTTATTTTAAAATGTTTATAAAAAAACAATTTGAAATTAATAAATACCATTATGTGTAGCTGCTAGATGGGTTGTATCACTACAGCATACAAAATTTATTAATGGTTGGTTTTGATTTCTGGACACAGAGACTTGCTTTTCCCTTTGTATTATTTGAGTAATATCTTTCCACTTGCCATCGCATTTTGAATAAGACCAACAATTGCCAATTGAATCAATAGCTAATATTTTTGATTCAGATGAAGAAATCTAAAGATTGTATAATATAAATTAAATAGTCAAAACTAATAATTATTATCCGCTTACAGATTTAAAAGGACCATATCTTAAATCATCCAATACTTCAAAATTGATTATTTTTTTGTTGATGAGACCACTCATAAGAATTTTACCAGAACCTTTAATTAAATATATACAATTTTCATTAAATAAAATAATAATTAAAATAATAGTGAATTAGATTGAATACTTGTCAAAATAGAAGCAGTACTCCAAGAAAAATCCACTTGTAGAACTTCGCCATAATCTTCTTTGTTGCAATAAGCATGAAAATCCAAGTTGACGTTTGATTCAATGTTCAATTGGTTGAACCCGTTAAATCCGCACCAAAACATACCCATGATGCTGTTTAAATATGAATCTAAGTCTGTTGTTAAATTGCAAAGCATTACAATATAACAGAACATAAAATAATTTACTATTTTACAAAAAAAAAAATGAATTTTATATGACTGGCATTTTGTTCATTTTTTAAATATTTTTTTTTTTTGAATTTTTTTGTTTTTTTGTATTTTTAATTTTTTTTCGTATGTATATTTAATATATTTATTTATATATATATATATTTATTTGAAGAATAATATCATATGAACACATGGGTAATTAGGCAACAGTTGGATGAAGAAGCCTTAATTTTTTTTGATCGTTTTCATCAGTTTCATCATCAGCACAACATTTATTTGATACTGGACTAGTTAGAGAATTCCCTGATTCAATAGTGGAATGTTTGGCATCAGATAGCAATAGAGATTCTTTTACAAAATTTATATTTTCTTTGGTTTCATTTTCTGTTGATACAGAATGATTTTCTTTTGGAGATGATAGTAGAGTATTTACTAGGTTGTTCGATTTGTTTTCAGATGATGGACTTCTTTGAGTTTCTACTGATCCCAACACAAACATTTCTTCATTTAACGATAGGCTTTTTTTAATTATATTGTCATCAATTTCATCTTCAATACTACGTTTTCTAGATGTAGGACTTTTTTGTGACTCTTTTTCTAATTCTGAAATAGAATGTCTACCCTCCGTCGATAACCGTGCAATAATTTTACTACCAACAGTATTTGGAATGGCTTTTTCTTTTTTCAACTCATCAGGTACATAATCCTTCAAGTCTTTTCTTTTTAAATGATTAACTTGTATATCCATTCCATCTTTAAAAATAGCATGAGCTCTACTTTTCACCAATAAACAGAAATCTCGGATATGAGAACTAAAATCTAATTGAACCACAGTGCCATTCGACTTAGATATTTCTAGACCAACAAACCAAACTGATGATGGCCTTCCTTGTGATTTATCATAAGGTAGCACAAACTGGTCAGGATTTAAATGAGATCTTTGGACACATTCAATTTCTTCTAAAGATGTAGGCAAAAAACGAAGTCTTGATTCAACTAACCCTCTCCATTCAAGTAATTCTTCATCACAATTTGCAAACACAGTTATAGCCAAGAAATATCTATACTTTGTGAAAAATTTAGATGGTTGAAAAATTTTTGACCAACTTGATTCTCCGGTTAAAATTTCTCCCATAATGTCTAGACTTGTTTTAAATTCATCTTGTATTATGGCTAGAGTGGAATGAGAAACATTAAAAGTTGAATTTTGTTGAGGGTAAACAGGAGTTATAATAGGCATAACATGATTACGATCTGCCATGTTAACTCTTGGATCCCACACTGGATATCCGAGATCCATAAAATATGATGGTTTTAATAAGACAGGCTGAGGCCATTGCCACTTAGAAAAAATTAAAAAAAACTTATGTATCAAAGTTGCCGGTGCTGCATTTGGATATAACTGGCATACTCTAGCAACTAACATTGCCCAAGAAACCCCCCCAAGGTATCCCAAAGCATTTGAGTACACTCTATGACGTTTAGCCCATAATTTTATTGCGATTAATGTTTTCTTGAACGATTCTCGATTTGGAACTAATCGTAAAATAGAATCTGTTACACGACAGCCATTTAAACTTCGTACACATTTAGGATTCAAATTTCTCAGCAGATCGTCCTGTTGCAAATCAGTATCTTCATGCACTTCTTTTAAAGCAAGACGTGCAAACAACATATCAATTTCAATGCCTTGAATTATCATTTTGATAACTGGGACAAAAGCTTCTTCAACAGCTCGAACATTGTTTATACTAGGGTTTTCTTTTAACTTATTATAAAAAGTTGCAAAGTAATCAGCTCTGGTTATATGTCTTGGGACAATGACAATCGCATCAATATCTGCACCTTTATGATAAACACCAAGACGATAGGATCCAAATGTGCATACTAATCCTCCAACATTTTCAGCAGTTATTTCAGGTAAATTCCTTTCCATACTAACTTCACGTATCCATTCTTTAGCCAAATTATTAAGCATTGATAATACTTCAAGCCTTTGAGATAAATCTTCATCAGTAGTAATAACTTTTTCTCTTGAAAGAGCATCATCTAATGATTTTGTTAATTGTATATCAATGTCTGTCGGAAGAGCATCACTTATTGCCGATGTCATTCCATACATTTTAAAAAGATTTTAGGAATACTCTATTTAAAAATAAAAAAACTATTTTAATAGTTTAAATTACCAGTTAATATATAAAATAAATTCTTGATTTAATGTCTAATACAAAATACTGATATCAAAAAAGTCAGTACATTGCATAGTTTAAAGTAAAAATGTAACAGTTATTTAGATACTAGATACCTATTTTATTCACGAACTCTGGGGCATGCTGGTTTTTGATACTTAGTTATTTTTATCTGATTATTCAATAAGTATATCTTGATTAAGTCCTAAAATAAAAATAAAAAATAGATATACACATTCAGTTTATTAGTATATATAATTATACAATGGAAAATAATTATATAATTGCATTAAAACACAAAAATTGCATATTCAAATTGTATAATTGTAAAAATTGTAAAAACTGTATAGTAAAAATGCAAAAGTTTAAATTCTCATAATTAAAAAAACAAATGTTGTTTAAGTTACTTTTATGAAGTAAAATTGATAACTAGGTACAATTCCAAATCGTATTCATTAAAATTAAATCTTCTATTAATTAAAATATGTATATATAAAAAAAAAACTGTGTTCTATGTCTATACTACATAGTTTACGTTATTGGTGCATATTTAAAACAATTCAATAAGGTGTTACATTTAAATTAACCTTTTTTAAAGTTTAAATGACTTCATAAGTAGTAGGTAGACCAATGATAGTTATATATATTGAACAATAGGTTATAGATGATACAGTAAACCTCGATTATCCGTGTTTGCGATTAACCGTGCTCACTCTTATATTGTACATCGATTATTATATTTATCGAATCACCTTCAGTTTGCTTTTTTCCTTCGCTATCGCCGAATGTAACGTGTGGTATAACATATTAATCTTATAATGAGTGCTAAACGAAAACGTGTCGTTCTTTCTCTAGAGAAAAAGGTGTTGATTATTAACCKGKCTGTAGATAATGGTGAAAGTGTTCAAAAACTTGCAAATGAATTTGGCGTGGGTCAACAGACAGTTCRTGACTTAATCAAACAAAAAAAATGAAATTTTCAAGTTCATATCTTGTGCAGAAGTATCAGCTAAGAAGAGAAAAACTATGAAAAAGTCATCATTATCTAACATGGGATCTGCTCTTTTTGAATGGTTTAAACAGAAGCGTATTGAAGGCATACCGATTTCAGGGCCAATGGTTTGTGAAAAAGCAAAATGGTTTCATGAACATTTGAAAATTGAGAAAACATTTAATGCTTCACAAGGCTGGTTATTTAGGTTCAAAACTAGCCATGGCATAAGACAGCTGGACATTCAAGGCAAAAGCCTGAGTGGAGATTTAACTGCTGCAACACTATGACGAATTCAATTCATTCCTTTCAAAATTGAACTTGTCCCCTGACCAAGTGTACAACGCAGATGAATCAGGTCTATTCTGGAAAATGCTACCTTCGAAAACACTTGCTGCGCAATCTGAAAAATCAGCTCCTGGACATAAATCTAGTAAAGAACGACTTACTATTATGACTTGTTCAAATGCGACCGGTTCACATAAGATCAAATTAACTGTTATTGGGAAAGCTAAGAAACCAAGATCTTTAAAAGGGACAGAAATGAAATATTTACCATGTGACTATTACCACCACCCAAAAGCTTGGATGAACCAGGTTATTTTTAGTAAATGGTTTTTTAACGTTTTTGTACCATCTGTACAAAAATTTCAGAATGAAAAAGGAGTACCAAAAAGAGCTGTTCTTCTACTTGATAATGCTCCTTCACACCCCTCAGAATACCCTGAAAACCCTGGATGGTTAAATTTTTGTCTACTATCTACCACCAAACGTAACTTCCATAATACAACCAATGGATCAAGGCGTGATTTCCTGTTTGAAACGAAGGTACAAAAAGATTTTTCTCCGTTATCTTTTGCAAGAAGATTGTTTTGATTCGATGAAAGAACTTTTGAAAACATGGACCATAAAAGATGCCATTTTTGCAGTATGTAATGCTTGGGGAAATGTACCTGCAACTACGTTAAAACTTTCTTGGGCGAAAATTTTGGATCAAGACTATGATGACGAAGAAAGTATCGAAGATACGGTCGATAAGGATATAAAAGCTTGTCTTGATCTAGCTACATCTATTCCAGATTTCACTAATGTTGATGAAGACGATATTGTTGATTGGCAACAAAAAGATCTTAACGAAGAGGGATTTGAGCGTTTGAGTGACAGTGACATAGCAGTTTGTTATGGCAGCGTAACCACACCATCTACCTCACAACACCCTGATTCTTCTTCTGAGAGTGATAATGAAGAACATTTTGAAAAAATACTGACAAGCCAAGCAATGGAAGTAGTTTATGTCCTCTTGAACTTCTGCGAACAGGAAAATTTTGACTTCCATGACGTTATTGGCTTAAGAAAAATTAAAAGTGAAGTAAGGAAAATTATTTCAAACCAAAAAAAACTAAGACTGATAACTTCATATTTTAAGCCCTAATAACTTGTTGTATAAAATTATTGTATGTACATTATGTATATTTCTAATTATAATTGAATCAAATTTTTAAAATTTCATTATTATAAAATTGTACCTATGTATTTCTAATCAAAATTAAAAAAAAATTTCATTATTATAAAAAGTCTCGATTAACCGTGATTTTCATTTATCCGTATGACCCCCTCCCCATCATTACCCCGGATAATCAAGGTTCCACTGTAATACAATTCTTAGTTATGGTTTTATGGTACAAATACAGACTATCCGCTAATAACGACGATTTTATACAAAAAACCTAGTAGAGTTTAATATTTTGTTCATTTAAATATACAAAATCGTAAAAAATTGAAAAAAAAACATGTAAGATTGCAACAAATTGCATTATAAAATTAAAAGGAATAATACTTAAGTATATATCGACTATAGATTAGATCAAATTTGGGTTATCTTAACAGCAAAAAAAGTTGGAATATCTACTAAATCTGGTCTTTAGTCATAACTATGGTTTGAAAGTTAGCTGTATATTTGTCTAAATGATTTTTATTTATAGAAAACTTAGATAGAATCCACAATGTACAAAGACAAGAATAAAAACAAACCTTTGAAATGCATAACTTGTTAGTTTTAAAAAAATTGCATAATTTTTAACCGTCAAATATTTACATTAAAAAAAGTTTAATTTAATAACCAACATATATTCTGTCCAGCATGACAACATACCATAGCTTGACAAAAATCAGTTTTTTTGTGCATCTTCATATGATATCATGTCATACTGGAATTGGATTGTGGCAAGGTGTAGATTGGGGATTTGAGAATTACCTTTCAATAAAATGCACTGTTGGAGCCCAAAATCAAATTTTAAAATTGTTTAAAGAATTTAATGAATTTATAAAGTATTTAAGTTACAAGTAGGTATATATTTTTCTAGATGGTAAAATATATCTATGATGATATTAGATAATTGTTATAGAATGTGTAAGGTAACATAAGTATCCTTCTATGAATCTATAGTTAAATAGCATTATAAGGAACATAACTTTTTAATATTATGTTATGCAATGCCTTTTTTTTTTAAATATGTGTTTTAGCATGTTTAATAATTGATGAAAAATCAGTCAAATTTTCTCCTAGAAGTTGTGGACAAAATACTTTAAAATAATGTTTTGTCACATTAAAAATAGGTAGGTAATTGACAAAAAACATAATTTTTTTGGTATTAATGTGAGTTTATTTTTTTAAAATATTGTTGAGGAATAAGGTGGAAGGAAATACACAAAATTACAAACTTTAAAAGTATAGTATAACCTTGGAACTAATTTTGACTGAAAATAACTTATTGCGTCATTATTCTTAATTTGTTAATATAATTAATTTTCTTAAACAAAAATCTCTTGGGAGCTTAACTGCATTTATTATCAATGGTATATCATAATATAATTTACCTATTGTAAAAATAAGATAAATTTGACCAAGTTATCTACTGTTTAATGTAAGTAACTACATTAATTTATTAATTGTTTGTCTTACTAAACTATTAATTTTATTGATATTTAGTTGCAACACAGGATAATTTTGGCAGTACTAACTAAGATTGTTATCATCAACCAAAAATTCAAACATTTTTTTTTTCTTTCAGGAAGGGAGATTTTTTTTTTTAATGATTAAGTTAGTTTGGAAAAACATTTTTTTAGTGAGTACACAATCATACAATCAAAATCACATTCATTACATAAAATATTATGTGTTTGAAATAGGCGCCTATTTATTTACACTTAACTATGAAATATAATATTAACTACTTAAAAAATTATAAGGGTTCAATAAAAATCAATATTACCCAAATAAATAATTATTTTCATTAAAATTACAAAAATAGTTTTAAATTCAATCAAGACCAAGTTATACAACATGGTGTCTAGTGTCTATAATCTACATTCTATATTTATAAACTCCATATCATGATCATGAACATAATGACAAAGGTGTACCTGTACGCGACGACCAATGTTTACTAATAATAATGTAGTACCTATTAAATTAAAGAATATTAGTGGGTCGACAAGGTCCAAGTTTAGATTTCGTCCGAACGAAGTGAACTAGATATCAGATCACGATAACGTAAAATATACCGCTGCTGTTGTTGTAATGTAACTGAACAACAACAATGACTGTAAACTATATCCTTCGTAGACAGCAATTACTAATTAGTAAACGAACGACGTAAATTGTATAGGTACTACACTAGCACGCGATTCGTTTTTGATAAGAGCAGGTAAATTTACGAGTCACCGACGGCTTATGATCGCTTTGTCTGGCAAGTGGACATCATAATATTATTATGCTATAAATCTACATAAATCCAAGCGTAAACACACAAACTAACGATCACACACACATGCACACACATTTCACACAACATAGTACACGGGTTAAAATTAATAAATGATTATAATATAGAGCTCGGGGTTTCGAGAACAAATACGAAAGGTACTTACATGATACACGGTTTGGCGACCGTCAGTTGAACACGAAAACAAAGTACACTATCGTATAACCTATTTAATATTAAACTATATAATCAATACGATAATTTCGCGAGAGTTTTCGTCGTGGGTAGTCTAAAATAATTCAAAACTGAAACACTGGAACAACAACAACAACACAATGAGTAAACAACGGTGGAAAAATAATGATTCTAAAATAATAGCGTCCCTGCGTGCCACACGACAACCGGTGGTGCGCCGCAATGGACCAAGAAACGCGTAGGTATACCACAACGCCGAAACAACACTGCGCAGTGATTGGCAGACAGTGTCCGGGAGCCGCGGCGCTGGCACCGTCCACGCGATTCGTTCGTTTGTCCGGAGAGAGAAACTGACGTGGCCGTCGGCCTTCCGCACCGTTTCGCAGAACGTTCTTCTTTTTTCTATGGGAAATTGGAAACGGCAAACAAAACACTTCACGAATTACGATAATATTATTAATATTAATTCACGAGCTTATGGCAACAAAAAAACAAATATTGAAATATCATGTCCATGGTATTCGCCGCCGTAGTAACTATACGGCGCAGACACGCCCACGATATGTCGATAACAGTGCGACCGCGTACCCCGGTTGTGTGGCTGCCGGCTRGCTTGGCACTCTGGCAGGTTTCGGCGAGTTACGGCCATGCGCCCTTGTTTCCTTGAATTATAGTTGTGAAATTATTGATAAACAATAATTATGCGTCATGTATCATAATAATATGTCGTTGTATTCTGCGCTTTTTTTTTATATACAATAATAATAATATATTGTTGTACTCTGTTATATATATAAATAAACATAAACTTGTAGAATAACAATACCTATATAATAATAATAATAACAATAACAATGTGATCTAATCTTATTAGAGTCTAGTAAATGGTAACCCTGCATAGTCGCGGGTTTTTAAAGCCAAAGATAATGTATCATAAAATTATTATCTATGCATATTAATTTGTGATTATTATTGTCATTACGCATTATAATAATGTGATAAATTTTATTTTGATATATAGAAAATTAATATGTGAATATTGTGAATAATTAACTGTGATTAACGCTTAACAGAAACTATAACTACTTACTCTTACAGTCAATAAACCACGTACCACGATAAAAAAAAAATCTTTATCCTTAATCGAGCAACAGTCTGTTCGATAATATTTGTATTAAATTTGTACTATTTTTTTCATGTATTAAATATTAATTATCTAATATAATTCTAAATTTAATATTTTGCCTAACAAAAGAATTCCATTTCAAAACCTTGAATTTTGATTAGGCATAGATATATGAGTTAATTATTATTTAATATTTATTTATTATTTGAATTTCTTACATTGAAATCAACTGTTCTACGTTTCGTTAATCGATACTGGATTGCCTTATGCTGATTACTCTTGTCAAAAATTATTTTTCAATATGGGAATGTTATTKGGAAAACCCAAAGTCTCTCGTATTACCGATCACGATCGAGCAGTTCTGGTAATGTTYCTTGTTCACTAATGAATATGTATTTGGTCTTTGTTTTGTTTATCTAYTGCATGTATTAAAATGTATTTAACATTTATGTACAGTGTCTTTAAAGCTATTGATTTAATTTTTTAGCAAATGAAACAGCAAAGAGACACCTTAAAGCGATATCAACAAAGAGTTGAAAAATTACTAGAAAGTGAAAGAGAACTCGCTAAAAGACTACTGTCCGAAAACAAAAGAGAGTATGTCAGAGATRATTCATTACTAAATTTCAGCTTATCCAAGTTTGAAAAGTTCAAAAAAATAAAAATCATTAAAAATTAAGATGCATATAATATGATGAAATATTTATTGAAATAAATGTTTKGATAATGTTACTGAAAAATATCTTGAACAAATGAATTTTKAATTGGTTTTAATGTAATGTATAACCAAAAGGTTTATGATAGCTGGTCTAAAAATAGTTATTCATTTAGAGGCAAAAAACTAATTTATTTATAATGAGGGTGGAGGGGAACAGCACATCTGWTGGTTGCATTAACAATTTCTTTAACTTAATGATTATGATGTTCATTGTTATAGAAAAGCAAAGCTGTTGTTGAGAAAAAAGAAATACCAAACAGATCAGCTTGAGCGTACTGAAGCATCTTTGGATACAATTGAAAAATTAATTCAAGATTTAGAATATACTCAAATAGAATCSAAAGTACTTATTTGGAATATTTTTTTATAGTATTACAATAAATTAAATTCAATCAATTATGTATAGGTTATTGAAGGCCTTAAAGTTGGAAATTTAGCGCTTAAAAAAGCAAACGAATTGTTTAATATCGAACATATTGAGCAACTCTTGGATGAAACTAAAGAAGGAATCGATAAACAAAAAGTAAGTGATATTATATTAAAACATATTACATAAATAATTAACTTGTTATAAAATAATTTTTCAAACAGGAAATAACCGATTTACTTAGTGGATCCTTGTCCACTGAAGATGAAGAAGCAGTTGAAGCTGAATTAAATGAATTAATTGCCGTGGAACATCAAAAAGCTGTAGATATATTACCAACTGTACCATCAGATGAATTACCAGTAGCTGTTCCAGGTAATTATAAGTTAACTATTATRATTAATACATTAATATATTTTAATACAACATACTTAAATATACATTTCATGATTTAGAGACCAAAGAAAAAGAAAAATTGCCAACAAAGAAGATTGCTTTAGAAGCTCAATAAAATAAATTTTATTTTCAGTTAAAATGTTACTGAATTAAAGGCAGAGTCAATTTATTTTTAACATATTAAAATTTTTATTTTCTGTTATTGTGTTCAATATAAAAAAGTTGTATTTTTAACATGCATATTTGTTTTAAAGTTAATTCATTTTCAACGAATTGTATACTATAGGAATGTCTAACTTTTTAATTTTTTTAATTATGCTTTAGCTGTAAACAAAGCAATTTTGGTGATGTTCTAATAATCGACATTAATGTCACTATACACATAGTTTACAACGATTACATTGTTTATTACAACAATCAATCAAGATCAAGATATCTTGAATTAGTTTATGGTAGTTCTTTAGTATGGGTTAATTTTAATGTSAAATTCACAGATAAAAGTTTAATTGTTTTGAAAACTTCAAATTTTATAATGACTAATCTTTTGGTAATTAATCTCATGCTAATTGCRATGGTTGGTTTATWTAAAAAGTTTTTACAAGAGCATGGTGTGATGACAAGAGGGACATAACTAATGTATGACATTATACGCTTGGTACTAGACACTAATCACCACACATTATTAATACACTACTCCTTGACGCACCCAGAGACTACAGGTTAATGGTGCATCCCCCTATGGTTTGCCATGTCACTGCAGAGAGAAATTATACCTCTTTCTGCTGTTCGGATGTGTTATATTTGTGCCTGAAGTATGTTAGGTTACCACTAAATAGATGAAAACCATTTTACTGTGTGGTTAGGTACTACATTTTTGCTCAACTTTCATACTTGACTGGTGAAATAGTTTTACCTAATTAATATCTATCATTTTATATTATTTGACAAATAACAAGTTAATTTTAAATAGACCAAACAGGACACGGTGATGTCAGAATAGTACTTCAACTAAAGGAACTAAAGCTGTTATTCCAAACCATGTTTCCTTTATTCCAGTGGCCAGTGGGCTATGAATAAATTATTTATGAGCTTATGCTAAATAACTAGATGAGCAGGAAAAGTTTAWATCAATCAAATTCTTATGAGCCTAATGTTTTGGACATTGATTTAATTTTATTCACCAAAARCTATAAGTAAAAAATATTGAAATCTTGATACATACATGTAAATAATATTTTATTGTGRATAAGACACTTTTTAAGTAATTATTTAAAATAAATTTCCAATAAAAAATSATTAGTTAATATTAAAATCTTGATATTTTTATTAATAATTTGTTTAATACAATTTTGACTATTGCGAGTGTAAAATCTATAATTGTATACAATGCATTCAGATTTTTTTCAGTATAAAATAGAAACTAACTTAAACAAATAATTATAATACACATTAAGCATAAACGTCTTCACGGTCAGCACCAACTCCGTCTCCATCTTCTAAAGATGAGAAATTCAAGAAATGGGCAGGCCTATGAATCTCATGATAAAATTCTTTTGGATTGGCTAATTGCAATTCATACTTCATGTTTGCGTCATGTCTTACGCCTAACATTTGTGTAAAAATATTTATTAATGGATTAACATTTGTAAAATAATGAATACTCATGATACACAAGCATATTTACTAATGCAACATAAGGGTTTTAGTGGCTTTTATTAACTGTAATATTTATTATATTTACCCATAAAGTTATAGTTCCATGATCCTTGAGCTGGTACCATAAAGAAACCAAGGAATCTGTCTGACAACAGCATTTGCACTTTTTCGTAATGGCTAGGCAAGTAGCCTTTAGGATTGTTACCTTTGTCAGTGTTTTGTCGTCCCCATTCAAAACCGCTAAATTTCAAATAAATTTCAAAGTTAGAAAAGTTTAGGGGATTAGATAATTATCTTTACCTTGGAGTCAATTTATAGGCTGTCAATGAGCATGAGCCAGGTGTAAAACTGCAAGTTATTATAACAGTTTTTTCTCCATCCCATGCAGAGTTATCAGACATAATTTTGGCATGAGTGCTTATATCCTAAAATATAAATTATGTAATTATTAATCTGTTAAAAATATTTTTAAGATATGAATTTACTTGTGGTGATAATTGAGGTAATTCATTAGGCTGTGTATGTATCCAACCAAGTGGTTCCATGTCATTGAGATAGTGATGGTTATTGGGTAATTGTGATGGTACATGTATAGTTTGATGTGTTCCCCATTGGGGCGGCATTACTAGGCAACGGATTTCTTTCACTTGAGGATTATCAGGAGGACTCACACCATATAAGTATGCACAAATCTAAGATAGTGAAGAAATATTAAATAAAGATGTTAAATACTGTAAGTGAGAGTGCAGTATTATCTTAAGTAATTCAATATACTTGGGCACGGAGATCAGAAATGGTGACAAACTTTTTGAGTATGTTCTTAGGTAATATATATGTGTAACCAGTTTCTTTAATATCATCAGACGATACATATATATGATTGGTACGTAAATGAAGATTTGTTGCAGATATCGCACGAACTCTCCATTCAGTCTTGGAGCTAAACATAATATCACCAATTCGTAATTAAAAAATTAAAAATCATATATAAACTATATCACTATACCTGAAAGTTTGAGTTTCATAATTAGAAGTAGTAGAAGTAATAATATCATCTCCATGTTTGTTCACTGTTCTAGTTGTGGTTGCTGTTAATTGTGACTGCTCTTTAGTTTGTTTCTCAATCTCAGCAATTTGCTGTCTTTGTGCTGATGGAGCACTAATCTCCATTCCCAAAATAATATCACGGATTTCTGATTGTGTTAAAGATGCAACATTCACGCTTTAAAAATAAAACAAACAATAGTTAAATTAGCTAATCTACAACATTTTCTAATAGTGTCATAAAATATATAAATACATACTTATTTTTTTTTCCATAGTCAGCTAAAATCAAATCCTTTAGTTGTACTTCAACCTTAATCCATTCATCATCACTGAGGGTAGGCCAAATGTGATGTGGCTCAGTTATAGTTGTTTTGTCTGGTTTTAATATAACTTTGGTACGTTCAGTGTTGACATGTAAAGCTCTTAATATCAATATTAAACGAGAAAATGCCTATAAAAAATTAAATTTTTATATAAATTTAATATAAAATATATCAGATATTTAATTTTTACCGTGTAAGAAGAGATTGTTTTTAACCAATCATCATACAAATTGAAAAGAACCATTTGAGGTTCAGTAGCTTTCAGTATAAGGTCACCAAACTTCTCCACTTTCAAACATGCTTGAAATGGAAGTTGTAACTCTGATCCTTTGATTACAATGTTAGGGAAATCCAAAAGATGCACCTAAAATAAAAAAAAWTTTTTGAAGACGTGAGTTATATTAACCAAAAAAAAGTTACCTCAAGAGGATCCAACATTCCTTTACGTGTAACAATAATTTGTTTAGGCTGTTCTTCAACAGGCAATGAACGAATCAAAGCAGCCACTTCTTCAGCTGTTTTCCATTTAGCTAACTAAAGAATCAAAGTTTTGATTAGCAGATTAAATAAATATGAAATAATAATATATTTCAACAAAAAAAATAATTACTTGTCCTAAACGTTTCTGACCAGCCCATACTGAGGTATGAATTATTTTCAAAAATAGTTGTCCAGTACGTGGGTTAAATATAAAAATGGCTCCATTAATGGGTTTAGTTGTCAAATTTCCTTCAAAAGTTTTATGAATTGTTACTCTGTAGACATTTGTATCATCCACAAACCTTAAATCAAACAACACACATATGATGATAGATAAAATAAAATAATTTAAAAAATATTCAAAGAAATATTAATTCTTGTTGTTGWTGATGAACATAAACATGATATTCATACATTACAATTTTTAATAAATATTTAATAATATAATTACCAAATAATTTGATTAGAAAACAATTCACCATAATTCTGACTTGATAAGTATGGTTCAGTAGGTTCAGAAGAATACAATTGTAAAGCTTTTCGAATACGTTCTCTCAAAACATATAAAGCTGGATTTGCTTTCATAATTTTAGCCATAGCTTGTTGAATTAAAGGCTTACAACCAGGGAACCAATTTCCATAAGCACTAAAACAATTAAGTGTATAAAAAATTACATATTCAATTTTTTTTTAAATAGTTTAATATTATTGAGTGGATAAAAAACTATTTGTAAAATATCACACATAATTACCTGTGTAAGTTGTATGCCAAATCAATTGCAATGAGTACACCAGTAGGTGATGGATAAATAGACATGTTATCAGTAGTATAATCCAGAAATTTGGCTCTCGCATAACGTTCAACATCATGCGAGTCATAGTCACCCCATCTAAGTTGAACATCTAACCAATATTTTTGTGTAGTTGTGTTATCCATTGTATCCCTAAAGTAAATTGTTTACACAAAATTGATTGAAATAGTTTTTTTTATTATTATTATCATTTTATTACTTTGAGTCGGCCAGAAGTGACGGTCTTGAAACATTCCATTTATAAGCAGCAAAAAGTAAGATATCGGCACAAGATGAATTCATTTTGTATGATTTTCGGGGATGAATAGTTTCTTTTTGAACAGTTTCAATTTCTAATGCATCAAGTTCTTGATCAAAAACCTACATATAATACAAATATAAATTATTAAGAGAAACACAATTTTATAAGTGGTTTAGTACAAAAATATACTAACTTGACAAAGATCCATAACAATAGATTCATGGACTTTTTGCCACAAATGGGCCCTGAAAATTTGAATCAGGGAAATTTTGAGAGTAGGAATTTTACCATGCATAAATATTCCAGTCAAATCAAGCTGAACTTGGAAACCAACATAAACATTAGCTCGGTTAATAGTTGGTGACCACCATAATGTAAAACGACGATTAGGTATTTGATTCAAACCAGAACGTTGAGCATTTGTCAATTTTTTATACTTCATCGATTCTTCAAACCCAGATGCCTTCTCCCTGAGTATAAATATCGAATAAATACAATACAACATAACGAAACTGATATTGAGAAATATAACAAAATATATATATATATWTTTTTTTTTTTACCAAAATAGACCTTCCCAAGTGGGGAAATAAGTTCCTTTGAATAAAGTATGTTCCAATATACCCTCAACACCTCCTAATGCTTGAATCATATCAGTTCGGTAATTGTTCAAAT